ACGTCACACACTAGTAAGAAGCCATATTGCCCAGAGAAACGTTTTTGCGGCAACTTAAAAATTGAGTTTTTGATTTGGTTATTTTTACTGAAATACACGATAGAATGATGAATATCCACTTTTTACGGACTCCATAAACATTAGTCAATAACGTGAGATCGTTGCCTAAAACTTGTCAAATACCCTATGGAACGTTTTAGAAGGTTTGCTATGATTTAACAAGATGGCGTTGCCATCAATATGAGGCGCTTATCCAAAATTTTAAAGGTATCGATACTTGCCAAAAAGTACTCATTTAGTAAAAGTATCGAATACAAAGTATCGAGGACAAAAGTATCGGTATCGAAAGGAAAAGTACTCGATACCACAAAGTATCGATACATTTTTCGTGTCTCTAGGTGCGTGTTGACGCTGCCGGACGTAATGCCTGTTCTTTTCTGTTAATTGAGTGCCGTCTACCTGCGTTCTTTTAAAAATGGGTGATATTGACATGGAATTGTTAATAAGTTTGGTTGAAAATAGGCCTGTACTGTGGGACAAAACCCAAGAGTGCAATGAAAATAGACAGTCGAGTTTTGCCGCTTGGAGAGAAATTTGTCTTGCGTTAAATAAAGGTTTTGAAACGATGTCCGAGAAAGAAAAAAATGATTTTGGTAAGTAACATTTTATTTTCATTATTTTTATGCATGTTGATTTTGCCATGGTACACGCCCTACTGGTGACATGAAATACTCTGCATATTTGTTACGAATCATATTTGCTGTTACATTACCTCGTGTTGAATGGGAACGAGGCAAATGGCATAGAGTAGACACCATGTGTGAACTAGCAGTGTCAGTAGCATTATTAGCAATACCCTCTACTTTATGAATTATGTTTTGTAATAAGCAGCATGTTTTTACAATGTTAACAGCAGTATCTGTTGAAACATTTAATGGTCTATGCAAAATCCTCCATTTATTGGATAAAATACCAAATGCGCATTCGACGTAGCGTCGCGCTCTTGTGAGACGATAATTGAAATTTTTTTTTATTGAGTCAAGTTGATGCCCACCGTAAGGACGAAGTACGTGTCGATGTAAAGCGAAAGCTTAAGCGAAACAAATACATAAGGTAACTCACTGCCTGCACCTGGCAACTGCTTAGGTCGAGGAATATTTAATTTATCGCCTACTATTCTTTTCCAAAATTCTGTTTCTTTAAATACTGCTGAATCGCATTCTTTGCCGTAGGCTCCAACATCAATAAAAACAAAATTATAGTTTGTGTCTACCACAGCCATTAATACTATTGAGAAATAGTGCTTGTAGTTGAAAAACATTGATCCACTTTCTTCTGGCTTGATGATTCTAATATGTTTGCCGTCAATGGCTCCCAAGCAATGAGGAAAATTTGCATTCGTCTCGAAATTTTTTTCTATTGTTAACCATTCGTCTTCCGATGGTAGTTTCATATAAATTGGAGAAAGGGTTTCCCACAATGCTTCAAATACTTCTTGTACAATACAGCTGATAGTTTTTATACCCATTCTGAAACTGTAATGTAGATCACTAAATGTGTTCCCTGCAGCTAAATATCTGTAACAATTTTTTCTTTCTTAGGCAAAGATATCATAAAAAAATGGAACAATGCAAGAGATAACTGGATGAAATATCACAAAAAAGTTAAGGAATGTAAATCCGGCTCTGGTGCAAAAAGTCTACGAAAATATAAATTCTACGATCAAATGCTCTTTTTGTGTAAAATTGTGACTCGCCGAACAACGGAAGCAAGTATTACATCAGAAAAAAACATCACACAATCTCACAACAAAGAAACTGACTCACAAACCAATAATGACCCTACCGCACCAGCCAATACTACCGATTTAACAAAAACAAGCAAGAAGAGAAAGACAGTCTGTAGCGAAGTTGATCGACAAATGCTTACTTTAATTAAATCAGTTGAAGATGGAGACAAGAGTAAGAGTATGTGTTTTTTCAAAGGTATTGCTCCGATTGTAGACAAGTATAGTGATGACGATTATGTTGAATTCCAATATGAAGTCATTAAAGTTATGAGAAATTTAACTCGGAGAAATCAAGCGTCCATGCAGCAGCTTTTGCTACAATTACAATATTAATCGAGGCTACACTACGGCTACACCCGACTACAGGATACACGAATATCAACCAACACAACCCATTCCATTGACATCCAGGATGCCCTATGAATATCAGCCAACAGAACTTATTCCATCCACATCCAGGATGCCTCAAGAACTCATGCAGCAAGATGATTCCCAATCTTCAATTACTGAATTAAGTTCAATCACATTGCCTGATTACGATTTCGATTTTTCTAAAACTCCTTAATTTATTTTTTGAGTATAATAAAACAATTACTACCTACTAAATTTTGTTTTAATTAATACAGGTAATCAATCCCCTTTTCTATAATTTGAAATTGAACATCTCTTTAACATACCTTATCGTAACGGCTAATCTCTCTGCCAGGGAAATAGATTTACGCATGTCAGTATCCTCGTGTCTTATTTTATCATATATGGCTGTGTTAATAATAGTTGAAAGGTTTCTTTCTTCATCCGAAAATAATTGTAAAATTTAGTTTCATCTTCTTCCAACTGCGTAAAAAGAGTTTGAAATGCACCATATTTTTCCCTTTCCAATAATATAGGATGCACCCACGATGACCTTTTACGTTTTTCTATTTCTTTTTGTTTCTTCTTGTACAAATAGTAGGCCAATACGAGTTTTTTTTCTTATTATTCGACATTTCATGTGTGTAATCTCTGACTACCAGTTCAAAACTAACGCATATAGACGGCAGTCCATCCATCCGGTAAAAAAAAATATGTATACAAGGATAGCCGTTTATTGACGGTCCGTTATCCGGTGAAAAAAACGGACGTCTACAAGCGCTCTTAGGCAGTACTCTATAATCCGACAAATTCGATAGTTCGACACTGCCCTGCAAAATATCTTTGTCGGACTACCGGGGATCCACTGTATTGATAAAAGGCAATCGACCAGGTATACAAGTAGAATAAAACATCAGTTAAAATAAAAAAAAACAATCTTTATTTTAATATTTTTTTGGTAAATGCAAAAGAATTACCGAGACAAACAACCGAAAAATAGTATTTGTTTACTATTGTAAATTAATTTAATTATGGCAACTTAATTATAAAATATATTAATTATGGATTTTATAAGAAGCAGCGGAATCCCCATGGATGTGGACGTAAAATAAATATGTACTTAATTATTAAAAAAAAAATTAACAATGTCATCAATGTTCAAATTCTTAAATAGCATTTTTTCACAGATTTTAAGCAGGTATTCTACATGTTTTTATTTATTTTTTTAAGCATTTGACTGCTACATGTTTAAATCTAAAGAAAAGTTTTATTAGAAAAAACTTTTTTTCTAGTAAAACTTTGCTTAAGGTACATATTCGTAAAGATTACTTTTATTATATTTAAAGATTACTTTATTTTAAGCATGAAAATGTATTTAATCTGAAATATTTTGTCATCGTTTCTGCTTTATATTTTTCTATTATTGTATTTAGTTTTGTTGTTGTATTGTTTTATTATTATGGATATATTATTATAGTTAATCCATATCTGCATTATTTGTAAAAAAATGGTTTAAGTATTTTAACATTATTTAATATTTACATTTTTTATGTAAATGGCAGTTAACCGAAGGCACATTTTCGTCGCAACAAGCATTATTTATTAAATTCTAAATACTTTCCTAAAGCTGCACATTTGATACTGAAATTTGCTTAAATTATCTAATTTGGCGTGAAACCGCATTATTTAGTTATGCAGACTATTGAAAAGGCACTCAGGATATGTTCATAATAATGTTGTTCTAAATCAACATAAGTACAAATTTAATACACCAAAAATCTATTTAGAGTCTGTGCAGAAAGAGATTGGGCGTGGCGAAAAACGGAACTAACATTAAGATTTTTATTTGGCATTCAAACCCAGCTATCTGTAAAACGTCTAAGTTTTGTATTGATACGGATTTGTTCGTTGTTGTGATTTCTTGCGGTTTTTTGTATTTAATCATGTCTAAAAGGGGTAAAACCTTACAAATACGGTAGAAATGCACTACAGCGCCCTCCAATCTAAATCCCATTCCCTTTCCGCACAGACTCTACATATTTTTTTTTTAAAAACATCTCGATTGTACTGAATCGTCATTTTATTAAATATTTCTTGCAACACTTTGTTTTATTTAAAAAAATTACATGAATGTGTCACATGACTGTCATCGTGAAGACCGCGTAGGTGACTTTATTTTTATATAAAAAAAAATAGTATTTTATATAATTTATTCTTTTATCCAAATTTAAACTAACACAAAAAAGGAACATTCGAGATAATGCCTCCCTATTAGTTTTGTTTATTATTTTACAATTAATATAGTTAATTATTACAATAAAGCGTCTAGTTAGTTCTGTACTGCGCCCGAACCATAAATATTAATCATAATATCAATAATCAATAATTTCTTCGTTCTTTTAAAAATTGTTAACCTATTAATCTTAGATCACATTTCCCAACTCTCATTCAAATCAAGACACACCACAATATCTATCACACATCTATGTTATCTTATTTTTTTGCATACATATATTTGTTATTATTTTTTATATATCTTTAAATCGATATGGAAGATGGAAATTCGAAATATCTACAGATTCTAAATATGAAAATTCACCAAGCGTGAGTCGAATTCTCGCATTATGGGTTCCTTATGTATATACTCATATAAAAATAACTTCTTATGAATACATTATTGGCGTGAAGAAGCCAAAATCTGAACTTGTTACAGTTTAAAAATATATAAAACTAAAATAATTTCAGTTACTTATGATTCCACCACCATACTTTTTTTTATTAGTGGTTATTTACACCACTAATAAATAAAAAATCATCACATGTCTTGTGACAAAATGAAATAATAAAACCAATCAATGAATTATGTCAAAATTCGAATAAACTTACTTAATGAATTTTAATTTCAGCTCACAGCCGAAAAATAAAAGTATTAAGTAGTATTCACCTTACAAAAGATGCGGTGAATATATTTTTAATAAAATCTTGCTATTAGTCGATAAGGAACCCTAATACTTATGACATCTATTCGGTAATTCCATGATCAAAGCCTACAAGTTGTAACTATTTTCTTTAATATCATTAGGTATGTATAATCGTGACTAGTAGTATATTACAATAATTATTTACAATTACATTCAAATGTAAACATTTCATTTAAACCTTTAAATGTACATTTTTGACTAAAAATGTTCAAGGCACAAAACTCACGATTCGTTTACGCTACCTACATCTCATTATAACCACGTTTAACGTCCGTCACAACATTTTATTATATTATAAATTAGTTAAAAATAAAAATAGCTTATTCAATTATACAACTGTGTAAAAATGACCATCAACAAAATATTGTTTTTAAAAATAATTTTATTGCGTTAAGTAACTGAAGGCACGTTTTTATACTTACTAAATGTTAATTTATCGACGATCATTTTTACTTAAACAAAATGGCGACATTACAGCGACTCAAAATGGTTGTCGCATCTAAAACGGCGCCAACGCAACACGAGCCGGGAAAACAATATCGTTTCCTAAGCACCTATGTAGTTAAAAACATACTCGGGAGTCAGGAAGCTCAGTGTGTAACTTTATCTCTTCCGCTCTTCCATTCAAAGCTAAAAAAGTGTTAATGTGGCATAATTTAGGTATGTAGGTATTTCTTTTCTACGTAAAGGCGCATTTACACTAGGCCCTTAGCACGTATTCGGGAGCACGAAAGACGTTACTCGAATTCGAGCACCCGAAGCAATATTTACACTGAAATACGGGCTGGAAGACGGTTTTGGGTAAACAAAACTAATACTACCTGAATACGGGCGTATTCGACTCCGTTCATTTACACTTAGGCCCGTATTACAGAATGACAACTAACACTTTACTTGAGTACAGTTAGAAAGGGATATCGCTATGTGCTTTATATAGCGACATCCCTTTCTAACTATGCTCAAGACTACATCAATCACTGAGAATCTTTCTATAATACTGGCCTTAGTCGTGTGTCCGAATTCCATAAGTTATCGTATTCGGGCTAACGACCAAATATAATTGCGTCATAGCTATGAAATTGAAGGCGGAAAGTGAAAACGTCACAGAATTTGTGTCCAAAGACCTACAAATCGCCACTACCAATAATCCACTGAACTTGTAAGATATTTTTTAAGACACGATTAAAACACTGGATATTTTTCTGACACATTTGGATTGGATAGTATCAAAACTCGTAGACTAGCAGCGTCGGTCAGTAGCGATCGAGGCTGGTCGAGCTGCGGCTGGTGAGGTCGCTGGCGGCGTCGGTGGCGGAGCTGGTGCTGCTGGTGCTGGCGGAGCCGGCGCTGGTGGTGGCGGGCCCGGCGACGGGTCCGGCGGGCGGCGGGTATCAGAGGTGCTCGTCGCGCCCGTTCAGTGGCTGCCTCTCCGCGTGGTCCGAGGGTCGGTTGCGTTTGAAGAAACCGCACTAGGGAAAAGACAATACTCTTATTATAATTAAGATCGAAGACAAATTGTCTCTCCGGTGGTGTCGTGTGAGGCGGGTCGTTAAGTTCCCTAAAATATGGTTGAGCGAAGCGATGGTTGGTTCATGCGTCATGCTCGTGAACGGGTGCTGCCAGCGGAGATGAATCTGCCCTAACTTCCTTGATGTTGAAAATGTTAATGTTTAGTTACACTTAATATAAATAAAACTATTTGTATTTATACCGTATGACACAGCACTCAAAATGCAGGTAAACAATGAATGTATAATTATTTATGTAATGAAAGGCGACTTCATGAATCATCTCTGAAGTCATTTTTCAACTTTACTGTAAATAATAAATCAGGGAGAGAAAAAACAGCCCTTGCTGAGTTTCTTGCCAGTTCTTTTCAGTACAAGGTCTCCCGCAGCAGATTTACGAACGCAGCTTCTAGATATTCATGAGGGCTTGTAACAGCCTAAACTGAATAAATGATTTTGATTATGATTATTGATTTGAGGGGAGGATGTAGGTACAGTCTAGAGCACATAAAGTTTCAGATTTGTAGTGTGACACACGTTTTTTATGTTAAAAGAGTGGCATATGGCTCGCCTGATAGTAAGCGACCACCAGCCTTTAGATGCTTGTGATACAAAAAATATCACTTACACCGATGCCTAACCTGACCCAATAGAATCCTGGAAGCGTAAACACCGACAGAAACATAACAAAAGAAAGTGTTAATTTACAGTGGTCTATTGTAAGGTTCTTTCTCAGACGGGCGCTCCAATTCCAGTGGAAATTCCGCCATGCCCTGCCTCTCTTAAACGTATGTACGTTGGGGGCGTCATGTAGACTATGGTAGCCATTTTCTTCAACCCATATCTGCCCACTGCTGAGTATAGGGTCTCCTCTACACTGTCACAATTTACTTGGTGTTATGACATCCGAATCTAGCTCCTTAGGCGATTCTCACACTCCGTTGCACTAAGCTGCGGGGTGCGTGGCGATCGGAGCCACGCGCGTGGTTGCTTCACTGCAGATCTCCATAATCATGCAGATTTCACCGCACAAACGCACGGAGTTGCAGTATTTTATACGGTGGTCCGACTTCATTTCAAAGCAGCTTGCGATGGTGTAGTACAATGCAAAGCATTGTTTTCTATATTAAATAACGGTTATTAAAGCAGAACTCACTCAGTAAGCTGCAGTTATATTATCTGTTTAGCATTTTTATAATCAAATTAGGTAATAGTGATATTGGGTATGTACTTCTCTTTTTAAATTCGCAATTTTATTTTTTATTTAATTTAGGTAACAAACAGTGTTATACAAACAATTTTACAATTTATGTTTACAAATAGACCTGAAGGACCATTAATTGATATATAATTATTATATTCAAACGGCATAAAAGTGACGGATAACTGTAAACATATTATATACATCGCCGCTGCACATGTTTTACTATTTAAACAATAATTCACTCACTTTCCTTTTGAAGAATTTTTTTTTTAGAATTACCTTTTTCGATTTAGGAAAATATGAAGAAATATTTTCGTTTATGTGTAAAATCACACAACATGCAATCTGCAGATTTCACTGTGCCATACCTTGCTTTTATCCCTGCGCGTGAATGCGTTTTGAGTATGTTGTTGAACGCGTGTTCCAACACAATAAGAGGCACAAGGCAAGCAACGCAAGAACACGCACTCCCGCGCTACGCTGCGTAGAGCGTGACAGTGTGAAAATCACCTTACCGGTACTCCTTCTGTTATTCCCTACGTTCCTGCGTCTTGTTCTTAGTAGGCCGAGGGGCGATTGCGTTTGAAGAAACCGCACTAGGAAACAGACAATGCTCTTATTATAATGAAGATTGAGTATAAAGAGAGAGAGATATATAAAGAGAGAATTTGGGTACATACTACAATGCTTAGTTTCACATTTGTAGTGTAATACGTGACTCACGTCCGGGCATTTACTGTTGCGGACTTCATATAGACTTTGGCAGTTATCTTCTTCATCCCGTATCTGCCCACTACTGGGTTCCATACTGCTCTCCTTCGGCTATTTCCTAATTCCTATTCCGGTACAAGTGTTATAAATGTTTGTAAAGTCTAACAAAACAATTTTTTTTTGCTATTTGTAACTTTAAAAAAGTAATAATGTAATATATTATTCATTCAAATAAACATTATAAAGTTTTGTTGCCTGTTTTTTAGGTGCATCGGGTGATTTGGGTGCTTATTTACATGGTCTTTATTAATCAATTTTTATTATTGTTATAAAAAAAAACCTATATTCCTGCGTCCTGTTCTTAGTCGTCACTATACAATTATGGTAGCTTTATAATAACAATGTATCGTAAGCGGCATCCCTTATAAACCGCGAATATTAACAGCAGTAGCGCTCCCAAGATGGCGGCCAGAATGATAATTCCTACTTCTGGGAATAAGTCTTCTCTTTACTATGTCAATTTACTCGGTATTGTAGTACCGGGCGCCCACGATGGCGGCCAGGATGATGACCCACAGCGGCACGCCGCCGGCGCCGGGCGCCTCGAGCTGCGGCGCCACCACCGTCCGCGCCTCGTCCCGCACCCGCCCCGCCCCCGCCCGTGTACCTTATATAGCGCAAAGATCAGCAGCAGCAGCAGCAGCGCGCCCACGATGGCGGCCAGGATGATGACCCACAGCGGCACGCCGCCGGCGCCGGGCGCCTCGAGCTGCGGCGCCACCACCGTCCGCGCCTCGTCCCGCACCCGCCCCGCCCCCGCCCGTGTACCTTATATAGCGCAAAGATCAGCAGCAGCAGCAGCAGCGCGCCCACGATGGCGGCCAGGATGATGACCCACAGCGGCACGCCGCCGGCGCCGGGCGCCTCGAGCTGCGGCGCCACCACCGTCCGCGCCTCGTCCCGCACCCGCCCCGCCCCCGCCCGTGTACCTTATATAGCGCAAAGATCAGCAGCAGCAGCAGCAGCGCGCCCACGATGGCGGCCAGGATGATGACCCACAGCGGCACGCCGCCGGCGCCGGGCGCCTCGAGCTGCGGCGCCACCACCGTCCGCGCCTCGTCCCGCACCCGCCCCGCCCCCGCCCGTGTACCTTATATAGCGCAAAGATCAGCAGCAGCAGCAGCAGCGCGCCCACGATGGCGGCCAGGATGATGACCCACAGCGGCACGCCGCCGGCGCCGGGCGCCTCGAGCTGCGGCGCCACCACCGTCCGCGCCTCGTCCCGCACCCGCCCCGCCCCCGCCCGTGTACCTTATATAGCGCAAAGATCAGCAGCAGCAGCAGCAGCGCGCCCACGATGGCGGCCAGGATGATGACCCACAGCGGCACGCCGCCGGCGCCGGGCGCCTCGAGCTGCGGCGCCACCACCGTCCGCGCCTCGTCCCGCACCCGCCCCGCCCCCGCCCGTGTACCTTATATAGCGCAAAGATCAGCAGCAGCAGCAGCAGCGCGCCCACGATGGCGGCCAGGATGATGACCCACAGCGGCACGCCGCCGGCGCCGGGCGCCTCGAGCTGCGGCGCCACCACCGTCCGCGCCTCGTCCCGCACCCGCCCCGCCCCCGCCCGTGTACCTTATATAGCGCAAAGATCAGCAGCAGCAGCAGCAGCGCGCCCACGATGGCGGCCAGGATGATGACCCACAGCGGCACGCCGCCGGCGCCGGGCGCCTCGAGCTGCGGCGCCACCACCGTCCGCGCCTCGTCCCGCACCCGCCCCGCCCCCGCCCGTGTACCTTATATAGCGCAAAGATCAGCAGCAGCAGCAGCAGCGCGCCCACGATGGCGGCCAGGATGATGACCCACAGCGGCACGCCGCCGGCGCCGGGCGCCTCGAGCTGCGGCGCCACCACCGTCCGCGCCTCGTCCCGCACCCACGCGCTGCCCCCGCCCGCGCCCGCCACCGCCAGTCGCGACACCCGCGCCGCCGCCAGCGTCGACAGGATCACCGAGCGTTCTTTCGCGATCTGCGCAACACCAAGTCTTTGCCATTAAACTCAAACTCATTTATTCAGTCTAGGCTGTTACAAGCTCTTGTGAAAGTCAAACGCTTCGCCATCGGTTCGTAAATCTACGGCGGGAGACCTTGTACTGAGAAGAACCGGCAAGAACCTCAGCAAGGGCTATTTTTTTCTCCCTGTTTTGTTTCATACAGTGTCGTCAATTGAAAGATGACATCAAAAATTGAAAATATGTGTTGATGTCAACTTCCATCACATTAATATTATTAATTAATAATTATTCAGCGCTCTCAACTAATGGAAATTGAATAGCACCACAGACGTAACGAGAAATTAAAAATCTTTTTTACAAAACTTCTTGACATTTGACGCGTATCGAGATCGAATCCAACTATTCGCTTAGGGTACAAACAGTTCCAATCAAACAAACGTTTCAGAAATGTGTGGAAAAGCAGCATTATATAACTTCTTTACAATCACGTGCTTAGGGGAAATAACGGACAGACGCCAATAAGCATATATTTGAACCCATACGTTGTTTATCCTACATTGCTTAAAAACTGTCCAGTATATGCTTTAACCTTGACCCAAGAACCGAACCGTTATTTACGACTTTGTACCTATCAATCGACTTGCAATTCCCCTCGCCCAGCGATATGATATTATTAACATAGTATAAATTCTAATTAGACAAAGAATTTCAAAACTGAAGATTCTGATTAAGATAGATATTTACAAATACTATAAAACATAATAGTAACTGTTTAAAAACATTGCTAACATCATACCTCATTTAGGACGGAAGCGTTTATCCTGGATTTCAAAGCCAACCAGATCTCCTGGCCCTTGACCAAACGTCCGGTTGTACATCTCAGCACTTCACACTTGTATTTCTCTTCGCATTTCTGAAGAATGTCTTTCAACTCAGGATTCACCTATAATTTTTGAGAATTAACATATAACTTAAATAACTCAAAAATAAAGCCAAATTTTTTAATCATATAAATTATTATCTGGAATCTAATCATTATTAAAAATTTCTTCTTATTAAAATATAAGCACCTGATCATCACGACGTCTCCTACTTCGGCCATGAGTTGATGAACCGTAACCATTTCCGTAAGAATAGGACTGACTTCCTGTAATTTGCAAAAACTTATTAAACATAACATTTTCATACTCTATGTTTATAAAGAATGATTGAGAAGACTTTGTTTTATCGCACTCAGATTCATCGATTGAAACAACTTTCAATTCTCACTACTAACCTGATTGGGAAGCATATGAATATCCGCCACCAGAACTAGAGCGATAACCTCTGCTCGCTTGCGAAGCGTCGCCGCCATGATATCCTCCAGATTGGTAGGCCATTTCTCCTTGCCGGCTCCCCATTTGAGCCCCACCAGATGCTGCAGCGCCGCTCTGTCCCGAACCGCTGGACACTTCACCCATGCCGATTCGGAACTCGTTGTTAGGATTTAACGCAGCATTCGCAGCGAAGCCTTCGAGGTCATCGTCGTCGTCTCCGAGCTTCGTAACGGAAGCGCCGTGATAGGAAGTAGAACCGGCGTTCATTATGTCGGAGTTGACAGTTTCTGTTGTGCCCCAGGAGCCATGGACGAACCCTTGCCCCGAGGCTTGGCCGGAACCACGACCATAAGCTCCCCCTTGTGCGTATCGGTTGTTGGAGTTCTGAGCATATCCTTGTCCCGAAGATTGCGCGTAGCCAGAATTGGTGGCGGCACCACCTCGGTTGGCATAACTGAAAGAACAATATTAAAATTTACTCCTACCCGGATATTTTAATTACTATAATGATATAAGACTACCGATTTTGCAAAGCTGACTTACGCATTGAATGAACTGCCGGCTTCGCCTTCACGGCCTAAAGTCCCATACTCGGTGCTCGTCTCCGTCCGAGATATCACATTTCCGTTTCCATCTAAATAAGTCGTAATATTTCTTAGCCTCACAACTTTGCCACTATCAAGAACGATTTCACCGCTCGGATTTTTAGCTGCAGATGCCAGAGCCCTTCTAATTTGCTCCTGTTCTTCTACAGTAAAACCTTCACCGTATGAGTCGCTCCAATTCTTCTTGTATGTGACGGTACCGCCGCCTGAAGCTTGATTGGTTCCGTATTGTCCGCCAGATGCTTGACCAACGTAACCTCCTTGGTTTGTGCCATATTGGCCTCCCGAGGTTTGACTGGTTCCATAACGGCCTCCAGATGATTGACTACCACCATAATGTTGTCTGTTTATCTGATTCGTGCCATAACTTCCACCTGATTGGCTCGTACCGTAATGGCCACTGGAAGATTGACTGGTACTACCGAATGCTCGGCCTCCCTGGTTAGTACCGAACTGACCACCTGTGTATTGCCCGCCAGCCTGTGAGTTGATTTCCAAATAATCTGCAATAAACGGAACATTAAGTTTAAAACATAATTAGTTAACAATTAACATTATTAAATTAGTATGGTACATACTCTGTCCATAGTAGCCGCCACCGCTGTTGATTTGCATATCTGAATACAGGCCACTGCTCATCATAGCTGTAACAATGAAATTAAGGATTGTATCTATGAAATATATCTCATCCTCTTCATCAGGCTGAATTCTAATTCTCTATTCTGTTTTTACTCTGTTTTTTCTTTGTTTATTATGGTCGCAATTTGAAGGACAAGGTTTGTTAAAAGAAAATTCATGGGAAATACCACCAGATAATAGGATGGTATTTTATTATCGAAATATTAATTTATAATTTTTATCGTAAGTGAATTGCACTGATGGGAATTCTGACCTGACTAATAAGTTATGATTCAGAAGACAAAACAATAATTATAATGATCCCTATCAATGATTTAGTCCATACCTTCCTTTTCCTTGTTGAGCAGGAAGACGTACTGCGTCTGTATGCTGAGGTTATCGGGGTTGATGTGGCGTGCCACGTCGCAGTGCACGTTGCCGAGCCACTGCGGCTGCACCAGCATGTACATCAGGTTCTCTCCTGAGGAAATGTTAATATTTTACTTGGCTCTAAATTTTTTTTTTATTAAAAAAAATCAACTCGGCCAAGGTTTCAGACAGGACCTTCGTCCTCCGCTGTCCGGGTGGAAGCACGAACCGATATGCTACAGACTTTAATCATCGTGTCGAAATCCTTCTAGTATGTCTTAAGTTGCAAGGCAGCGCCATCTCTTTGCATTGTAGGTAAACCACAATGTCAAAATGAAATACCACTATTAAGAACAAAAAGCAATTGCAGTTTATTATTTTTTAAAGCTATAATCTGACCGATTTATAAATCTAAAGAAAGATTTTCTGGAAAAAATTTAACTCGATCAAGGTTTCAGACAGGTCCTGCCTAGAAAAAAATCGATTTGGTCTAGGTCTAGGCTTCGGAGTTGAACTATTACTAGTAAAAAATCTTTAGATTTATAAATCGAGCAGATATATGGTGAAAATATATATAACATAAACATTGTATTTAGCGTTTACTCAAGGTTTTATCTTGTCACACATATTTACGCAGTGGCAACAACTTTATTCGATATTCGAAACCGTTTTTAGAGCGACTTTCTTGGCTCGATTTATCTTGTTTTTTTTTTATGTTAAAGGGGGTATACGAGCACACGGCTCACCTGATGGTAAGTGATTACCGTCGCCTATGGACACTTGCAACACCAGGAGTATCACAAAGGCGATGCCGGTCTTTAAGGAAGGAGTACGCTCTTTTTTTGAAGGTTTTTGGGTCGTATTGGTCCGGAAACACTGCTGGCGACAATATATTCCACAGTTTTGTCGTACGTGATAAAAAATTTCGACAAAAACGTACGGTTGTGGATAGCCACGCATCAAGATGATGGGGATGAAATTTTTGTCGCGATGTACGATGGCGAAATGCAGCAGCAGAATCTTACTCACCAGTGAGGGTTTGGTAAGGCCACATGACGAAGATCTCCGCCTCCTCCACGGTGAAGGGGCCTTCGTTCTTGATGTTGTACTTGTGGATTACTTGCGGCCCCAGACGCGCGTCGTCGCCGGTCGCGTCCAGCCCGTACAGAGACGCGTTGTAATGCAGTTCTGGTGGATCTGAGGCACTGTGAGAAAAGGAGATTACAGGTTTTTTTTTTCATACAAGGCGAAGCAGATTACCCTCATCATCATTACACACTGCTGGGGCACAGGCCTTCCATATGGATGGAATAGCAGATTGGGCCATGACCCACCACCCGGGCCCAAACCCAGTGAGTATAAGTGGGTGCTAACGACTGAAGATGAAGCAAGGACCAACGGCATAACGCGCCTTCCGAAGCACGGAGAAGCTCGGATAATAAGTTTTTGGTCACCCATTCAATGACTGCCCTTTGCGAAAGTTGCTTAGCTTCCACAATCGCAGACCGAACGCGCTATCCACTTGCGCGATCGAGCTCCTCAAATTAGCCTACCTGATGTTAAGTCTCAGGCGTCCAAGAGACGGTAGGTTTTTGCTTTCAGTTTGCTGGCAGTCAAGGTTAGAACTGATGAATAACCTGTCATCTTATTGGGTGCCTGATGACTTTTTAGCCGCCATCCATTTTTATCATTCATGACTGACTGCTGTACGAGACGAGCGTCTAATGGTCAACTGTGCGGAATCCAGCCTTTACTGACAGACAATCAGATAAACGGACAAAAATCTAGAAACTACTGTTATAAAATTGTAACTTGACTTTAAACGATGACAATTTCGATACACGTCATAGGTAGGTAGGAGGTAACGAAAATTAAAAATCTTCCATACGAAACTTCTATAGCAAAATCTCACATTCCTCTATTATGTAAAATATGCTCCTTCTCATAACCTTATTATCTGTTTTTTTTTTAATTTAACATCAACATCAACATGTTACCAACTTACCCGAGAACTGAGAGTTGAGCTCTGATGACGACCCCAATAGCGAGGCGCATGGTGTTGTCGTACTGCGTATCCTGTTCAGGATTGGTGGAGTTGGCTTCCATTTCGAAGTTCAGCGCCGTCACTCCCGCGTCTACTTCCAGCACTACACGGAAGTGGGCCTGGAAGAAACGTAGACAAGTTAGTAAGGGCTTATTTACCCTAAGACCATAAGGGCCATGTCCCGGGACAGCAGACTACGAGTAGTGGCAGAAGCCATTCGTTACTGACCTATATTTTGATTTGATTTACTAATTCTAGGGGAAAGAGGGTGGACGATGCAAATATGAAGTGATCCTGGGCGCGGGATTTCAAAATACGGTTTTGAAAGTTATTCTAGTTGCAATTACCAAGTTTATCGTGAGGTTTTTGGCTATCGTCACCTCTTAGTTCTATTAATCTAAAGGGCAGCGTTAATGGCGCGTACCTACAGACCAGTAGATCGGAGCAGCACGATCGCTGCCTAGCCGCTCCATTTGGCGTTGGTGACGTCGGAGCTAAATCGATTTGATAGAAACTGACCTTCTGTCGATTCAGCATGGGATTGCCCAGGTCTCATTCAAGCGTAGTATTTCCAGCAGCGTTCGCAGCGCGTTCGGAGTAGTAAATAGAGGCGGCGTCAATGCGGTCGCTATCTAATCGCTCCATCAAGCGTAGGTGTGCGAATTTATAAAGACACATACCTTCTGTCGGCTCGGCATGGGGTTGCCCAGATCGCATTCCAACGTAAATTTCCAGCAGTATTAGCGGCGCGTAGGGAGCAGTAAACAGGCGCGGCGTCAGCGCGGTCACTGTCCAGCCGCTCCATCTTGGCGTAGGTGACTTGATTTACTAGAATTTGTAAAGACACATACCTTCTGTCGGCTGGGCATGGGGTTGCCCAGATCGCATTCCAACGTACTATTTCCAGCAGCTTTAGCAGAGCGTACAGAGCAGTAAACAGGCATGGCGTCAGCGCGGTCATTATCCAGCTGCTCTATCTTAGCGTAGGGGACTTGATTTGCTAGAATTTGTAAAGACACATACCTTCTGTCGGCTCGGCATGGGGTTGCCCAGATCGCATTCCAACGTAGTATTTCCAGCAGCATTAGCGGCGCTCACGGAGCAGTAAACAGGCGTGGCGTCTGAACTGTCGCTGTCCAGCCGCTCCATCTTGGCGTAGGTGACGCCGGGTGGCAGACCCAGGTAGTATGTGGCTTCGAATGCGTCCTCGCCCGCGTTTTCTACGCGCACGTCGATGTGCACGTTGTCTCCGGAGCCGAGCACGTAGTTTATGGTCGGGCTGCGGATTTGGAAAGAGAGAAGCATTATCATATGACTGTGTTTTCGGTCGGTGGCCGCCTTACGGTGAACTTATTGTGCAAAACCACACACAGTAAACTTGCATAGTAGACGTTTTTTTAAGTATGTAAAATTGCTGCTGCGCAGGCTTCCTTGTCTATGGTTGTTGCTCAAAAAGCTCGCCGGGGTGTATTTTACACACTAAATTTTAGAATAAAAAGCGGGATATGTGAAGTAGTTCTACAAGTTACGAGCATCGTTGCAAGCGTTATCACTTTCTTCCTTTTCAAATTCACCGTGAAGTAAATGACGCTTGTTTTATATCTAAACTTGCAAAGGGGACCTTGATTGCGCGGAGTTATTGTCAAAAATTGGTCTTCATACTAATGTAACTAAGGCTGTTTTCTTAAAAAAAAGGCTTTAAACGGTGATATGCGAAAAAACTATAATTTGATAAGAACTGAAGGAAATCGACTTCTTTCCGCAGCGAGAATAGCGGAGCCATCAATGATTTTTTTTAATAGTAGCGTTTGTGAGAGTGCAGCTGCTATCTTTATTGGTGATCATTACTTACGTAGTGACAACGAGTTTTAGGTCGGGTATGCAGACGTTGTCGACGCCGCAGTTCTTGGGAATGTTGAGAGAGTCGGAGGGGCCCGTATCCGCAGTCTGGTCCAGCACCGGCGGCACCACCGTTCCCGACGGCTGCGTTATCAGCTCGTATGTCATCTTCACATCTATCGGTGTTAGCTTGTCTCGGAATTCCTCCTGAAAAGCCAACAATATTACTTAATATCTATAATAAAGTTACCTACTTCAAAACGTACGTCTAGTAAAGACAGCGAGCATATATTCGTTAGTAATTCTATGGCAATGCTTATCATCTGCACTATCAGACTGTACCAGTGAACGAGTAGTAATGTTTCTAAATAGTGTTGCCGATCGGTAGTCGATGATTAATCGATAGTCTATCGATAGCCAACCAATCGTATGACAATCGATCGATAGTATCGATACTATTGATCACAGCACAGAAAAAGCTAATACTTTTTGATGAGTTAAATACTATCGATAGCATTGTAGTTCATTAATAACAAACTATCGATAGTATCGATACTGTCGATTTTATTTGAAACCATACTATCGATAGTTTAACAATTTGCAATAGTATTGTTTACAATTTTCAGGTATTATAGTCAATCACAATCTTTAGTCTAAAACAATCGCTAGTATCGATACTATCGATAGTATTGTTGCAGATAAAATAACACTATCGATAGTATCGATACTATCAATAGTTTGTTATTAACGAACTACAATAGTATCAATAGTATCTATAGTATTGCACTCATTCGATAGTATTGGCTTGTTCTGAGTTATCAATAGTTTCGATACTATCGGTTGTATCGATTCTATCGATAGGGTGCATGATTTTTGATGTAAGCTGTCGATAGTTTTAATATCGATAGTTCGGCAACACTATTTGTAAATATTTTTTTTTAGATCTTCCATCTGCACGTATGTTTTATTTAAGAGAATGTTGTTTTTCTCATGTAAGTAAATTGTAAAAATTATTAGCGAAAAAAAATTTTAAAACCTAAACCTATAGACGAAACGAATTCTAAGAGATGGAACGAAGACTTGGTGATGGTTGCGAGAAGCCGCTGATTACGCAGCACCAATAGGTGTGGAGAATTATAAATCTTTGTGGTAGGATTCTCAGCAATATGTGTCGTGTCATATGGTTGATGTGTAAAAAGTGATCGGTAAGCATTCACTATGGTCTCAACGCGCGTACAATGGCAGAGTCATTACACGCAGTGCCTGACCTCCAGTTCAAATTTATTCTTTGAAAGACCATAACATCTATATATTGTCATTTAGCTGAAGTAGAAAAGGAACTCTTGGCAAGTGCTTTTTTTAATAATCCGAGGAGATTTACTGCTGTGTTATACAATTTCATTGAAACGAAATTTTACATTGGTTACGATTTGCTTTGGAAGGAAAATCGCAAGATTTCAGAGAAATCGCAGGGCGTTCTATAAAGAAATATATAGTTATTATTTTTATTTTTTAAGCATGTAACTGCTTGATGTTTTAATCTAAAGAAAATATAACTAGAAAAAATTCCACGCGGACCAGGCAGCATTGTGGGTTACCTACAATGCGAAGAAATGGCGCTGCCTTGCAGCTTAAGAATGGCTTGAAGAATTTCGACGCGTCCGTCAGGGCGGCGGTAGCATAATTGTTCAGTGCATTCAGTCTGCTGCCTGGCCCGCGTGGAATTTTTTCTAGTTATATTTTCTTTAGATTAAAAGAAATATATACTTACGTCTAAGTAAACTCTGATGTCCCTACATTCCTGATGACCTTGTGTCAGCAGAATATTAGTCTTGAATGTGGTTTCTCTCGTTTCCATGACGAATAATCGTTTTGTGGTCTTCTGGCGTGAGTCCAGGTCTAGTGTTACTTCGAAATCTATAAACAGTTCATACATATATACATTGTTATAAAAACACTCGTTTAATTCTAAATTTATTTACAATATTCATTGATCTGCGTTGTTTTTATTTTAGAATTAAAAAAAAACTAATGACCCTCGCTCCGGGTCGTTTCTGGCACAAAGATTGTCTATTGCCATCCAGCGTGGCAATGCTGCAAGCATAATGGGCACCTTTACGCCAGAAACGAAACGAGGTGATATTTGAATATTATTCTTGTACATAATGTTAATTTTAGTTATTATTATATTTTATAAGGTTTTAAGTTTTAGGTTCATTGTTCCTGTATATATTTTTTTTATCCATAAGTTTGTATGATTTAAGTTATTATTACTAGTTTGTATCTTGATTGTTTTTACGAGTCTAATCTCTTTTAGAATTCCAAAATCCTACTCGTATCATACAATATTTACCGAAAACAAATTGTGTCCAAATTGTACATACATATATTTTCTGAAATTTCGTAACAGTGCGAACACTACTTGTACGGAAATGTGAGTAACATCGAACAGCTAAGTAACAGAGTGGTGTTTCTAAAATTTTGTTATTGTGAGACGCCAATTTTATCTCTACACGAACCACTCACCGAAGTAGCAGATATATCCTTCCGCTTGGAGAAGAAAAGAGAATAAATTATTGTGATTCTTAAAACATAGACATTTTTCTCAGCAATATGCTACTATAAAACATCGACTTTTGAATAATATGGTTACGATCTCTAGATTCTAGACAGAAGAAATTTCTGTTTCACCTGTGTCGACTTAAGACATGAACAAGTAACTGCAAATGAAACACAAAAGATAATTTATTCTTCGTGACGCCGTTGCCCCTGCTGTAATTAGGGAGTTAATGATGACCAAATGAAAGTCGATGTTTATGTGTAGCTTAATATCAAAATATTATGTTCAAGAGAAAACTCACTTATCTGCTGGTCGACATTGATGCCGTTGTAAGTGAGACAGAACATGACGTCGGCGCAGGCGACCTGACTACCGTTAGAGAGCGTGCATTTCTTATCCGACAAGGATATGGTCTTGCTTTCACCCGTGAATTTGACTTCAGCCATTACTTTGACTACCGGACGAGATCTAAAATGTAAGATTTAATGTAAAAAGATCATGAAGAATGTACCTAAGCATAAGTTCATTAAAGAGCACACTATTCAGGACAATAACAAAAAACAAATAAATACATGGATATCGTTATAATGGTTTCATCAATTCAATTCTACATTTATTGCAAACTTAACGAAGATATAAAGATGGTAATTTCAAACAGATAACTACATTATGGACCCTATAGGGTACCGCAATTTAAAGAGAAGATGGCGTCTTATTTAAAATTTAACATTCTATGGGTTCTTAAAATTAGTGGTAACATTAAAAACTTACTTGAGAAAGACAATGCTGTCAGACTTGTAGGCGCCAACAGCTAAGTCAGTGTAGTTGTTGTTGTCCAGATCAACCCCCCCAGATAGGGAGAAACCGAAGGTGGTGAGAGTAGGTGAGATCTCTTCAGCTGTAATAGCCTGGGAAGCCTTCTCGGAGATGCCAGCTCTGCCACCCAGGTAGATGTACACCACGCCGCGACCATTCTCGCCGCCGTATGGAGCACCAATAGCGACATCTGTAACACGGAAATGATATATATTTTAATTTATAAATAAAAACTATTGTCATGATATCAATGATTATTTACAATTGAAAAAGTACTAATGTAAGGAGTTTTTAATATCTATAATGTCAATAATTCAACAACTGATTGTATGTGTATCTATTTTTGTACAACTATGTGGTTATTTTTTCCTGTTTCTTATATTTCTACAATTTACCTACCTCCAAATCCATCCAAGTTGATATCTCCTAGTGATGTAACAGCCAATCCAAATCTGCCTCGGGATATTTCTCCAGTTCTTTGGTGATGTCTGGTAAATGACTGAAAATTTTAAAATATTAGATTTACCTAGTTCCTACTTTGTTTTTTCTTAATTAGTGAGTTATCGTTAGTAGTACAGTTATCCTTACTCTATCACTGCCCTGATAGACGATGTACACTCTTCCGTGTTCGTAACCATCACTCTTCTTCTTAGTGAACATTGGAGATCCAATAATAATATCATCCTTGCCGTCACCGTCAATGTCACCGGAAGCAAGGCTATAGCCGAAGTAAGCACCTATTTGTGAGCCTGTAATATTCTTGAAGTTCTGAAGATCGCGAGTGTAGAGCACGACCTGGAAGAAAAATATTTATGACTTTCAAATATATATCGTTATAATACCTATTTTATAAAAAATATTTTTTCGGAATGATAAAGCATTCATACGTCGATTTTATCCCACCCATGAACTTTCCACGTATAATAAAATGCCAATCTCAAATTTATTAAATTTCAGATAATTTTAACTTTCAACTCACCAAACCCTTCAAGTCTGCTCCCCTTGGTACGCCAACTGCAACACCTTGGATGCCATGACCAACAAAATCTCCGACCGTTACCGAGTAACCCATGTAAGAATCGTCATATTTCGGACTAGCTTCAGGAGTTGCAATTAGGATCACTTGGCTTGTGTTCCGAGAATACAGTTGACCTAAAATAATCAGTCAATTAAATTATGCCAATAGGTAAGTATATTATTATAGGATTTCAATAAGTGGTGATAGATTCCATTAATGATGCTTTTTCAAGTTAAGACGATACGAACAATGAAGTGAAGTAAAATGACGTGATTTCAAAGCGACTGTGTTAGCAGCCAGATGCGACAGTCGTTGTGCTATAAGACATCCAGACTTTGGTAGTTAACCACAACATTTTAAATTAAGTTATAAATAAACATAGAATATTAAGATATTTTTAATAGAGAAGCAACATTTTAAAATTAAATATGAAAATGATTGATATCTGGATAAATAAAATCACTTTTTATCCTTTGAATTATTAGATTACACACCTTTTAAAAAGCGTTAAGATTCAGGGATATTTTAATTGTGGTTATTTAATATCACCAAATCCTTGTTAATGGTCCAAATTAAAGAAAAGCCAACGGATTATTACTTAAATAAAGTTAAATTAGTAGGTACGATTTAAAGCATGGTCACGATGTTTTTCCTTTCCTAAGCGTTAATTTTAGGTATCCCAATGAAGTAAATTTCACCATACTAAAGTTACTTTCACATTTGAAAAACCCCTTGATATTTGAATATAAAATGGACATAATTTCTACAATAAATTCATAACTTTATACAATACTGCTGCACAAGTTTGGTTGTGTCAATATTATGTCATCTAAATAAAATATCCGTTAGCACATTTTAAAGATAATATGCATTATTTACATAATTTTCTATTCGTGCACATTTCAAATTCCATACAATTTTTACTACAATACAAGGGTCAACAAATCTAAATACATATTGGGTTTACAGGTAAGTATTAACTTCGAGGGTATAGTTGGGAATAGTCCCGTTTCATATTAATAATAATTCAACATTAAATTCACCATGGTTTCGAAAAGCTAATGATGGCTCTGCTATCTGTGTCAGTTCCTCATTTAATTTTAGTTTTACTAACATCAATAACAGAGCGACGAGATCGCTTCAAATGTATTTTCCCGCTTTGATTGTAACTGTTTTTCTATTGGGTTATTACCATCAAGATCTATAGATTAATACTATGGGAACAGTTATAATCAAAGAAAGAGATACCTTTAAGCTGCATGAATGGTATAAGCCTGACGATTAGGCGCTCATAAGCCTTTCGCTATGTAATATGTTATATCGGTTAAGAATTAAGTATGGTCATTCTGGCGTTCGTTAGGGCTTTTACCTTCTTCTGGTATGTTCGGCATAAAATAGTTGAAGTTTTCGATGGTAAGGTCTATTGTTAACGTTCGCCCTGTGGATTGGGATTAAAATTTCAATCAATAACATTTCGTGGATATTCTTTTTAAGCTTCAGCGGTAAGAGCATACAATTATCATATTTAACATTGAAGACATTTTTTGAGATAAAATTTAATACACAATCAAAATGATCAAAATGTAGTAAATAATATATTGAAGCCCTTTCTACATTGTATGTTTCCAACTTAATAGTAGAAATCTATTAGGTACAACATAGATTCAGCCACACATAAAATTTTATCTGGCAACACTTATCCATCACCATTGTTCATTTGATAAACTTAGACATAATTAAAGTGTTCATTGATTTACATTGAAATATGTATTACATACTTACTGGTGAAAGAACCACTTATAAATATTATACTTAACTATATAGAAAAAACTATTGCAAATAATCACCTTGCCAGTAGAAGCTGCCTGGTGCTCCCATAAACAATCTTTCACCGTCCTGTGAATGAGAGATTTCTTTAAAATTATTGTAAATACAGTATAAATAAAAAATGTACATAGTAAATTTTTATTTTTGTAAGTATATAATTAGCAAGTTGAAATGGCAGTGGGCTGGCCATATTTGTCGAAGAATCGATAACCGTTGGGGTAGACGAGTTCTGGAGTGGAGACCGCGTCTAGACAAACGTAGTGTAGGACGTCCACAGGCGCGATGGAGTGACGATTTGCGCAAGGTGGCTGGCAGGAGCTGGATGCGAGTAGCCCAAGATCGATCTGAGTGACGTGCATTTTGAGAGGCCTATGTCCAGCAGTGGACTAAGATAGGCTGTTGATGATGTTGATGATGATGATGAAGTATTTAATTATTTTATATCTGAAAAAAACTTTCAGCTTGTAGAAATAATTGTCCCTTTAAAACGAAATGTTAGCAACAATACCAAAAGAATAAAATTATTATTTAAAGCAAATTCATTACTACGCGTCATCATCATCAGCCAATTAATGTCCCCACTGCTGGGGCACAGGCCTTCCCTATCTTTCAATAGGGATATTGAGCCATGACCAACCACGCGGGTACAGTGCGGATTGGTGGGTGCTAACGACTGCAGATGCAGCCGAGACCAACGGCTTAACGTGCCTTCCGAAGCACGGAAGCACTAGAGTTAGTAAATTTTTGGTCACCCATCCAATGACCGACCATTGCGAAAGTTGCTTAAGTTCAACGACTACTTACTACACGTATTTTGTTATTATTCCGTTTAACAACATTAGTGAGAGATGAACATTTATTATAAAAATACATATGGAAATATCAGGTTCGAGTGGAGAATATCCTACTAATAATATACATGTGAAAGTTTGTGTCTGTTATTCAATCACGCAAAAACTACTGAACGGACTTGGATGACATTAATTAGTACGCATAAATTTAATGACCATTACCCCTAGCACGAACCAATATCGAATTGTTATCGTTTGCGAGTCCGCAATGTACTTTCTGGCGCTGCTATTCAAGTTTCCATACAAAATTTGACATTGACATTTCGGTTTGCTAACTATTCGAATTCGATAATGGTTCGTGCTAGGGGTACAGTACCCCTAACTATTCGAATTCGATAATGGTTCGTGATGATCGTGCTAGGGGTACAGCATCCCTAGCACAAACCGAACGGAAACTAAAAATCAGTACACATTTGACAATGATATTTCGGACTCGCAAACGTTACGAATTCGATTTTGGTTCGTGTTAGGGGTACAGCATAGGTTTCCTGCAAGATGCAAACTCATTTATTCGGATTTCTGACAAATGTCAAATTTCTAATACTGGCTGCTTCTACAGACATAGCCTACACCTAGACTACATTTCGCCGAGTAATGGCGTAATGCATATTAAACTAATGTCTAAAATGGCAGCTACCGAAATCAGAACTAAGATTTTATTTACAGAATCGCCCTACTGCATTGAGACTTAGGACAATGTTAACGCGGACAATGTCACGGGCGGTCATTAGTTAAAAAATATAAAGAGCGAAAAAAATCCGTTACATTTGGCCATCACTGCGTATCGGTACGGTATGCACTTGTCCAAAGATCGATGTTTTACGATCCGTGATCGAATGATCCTGTTTTTTTTTACGGGCCACTTATGTTAATGCAAGGGCTGGAACTCGTCCTAATTGTAGACAGAGATATTTTTTATGGATTTATAAGTATGTGAAACGTTGTTACTTCCTTTAACAGCACTTGAAATGGGTGCAATGATGATGAAGCAACAATTGGTGCGTCCTCATACTTGGGAATTATATTTATGTTTGAAAGCATTTTATTGAGTAATATAATAGATCTCATTTAGAAAGATGTAGTCAGTAACCACGTGATTATGTCGAGATATCATCTCGGCTTTCTTTGATAAAATCTTTGAGATTCTTAGTACTTTCAAAAACCCAAGAAACGATATCTAAATAATAATAAAAGCATTAAGTTGGAAACAAGGTGACAAAATATTTCATTAACTCTTAAAAAAATACAAGTCTCAAACCCGCACCCTTCGCTATCCGGGTGAATGCACTGACCAATTATGCTACCGCGGCCCTGATGGACGCGTCGAAATCCCTTAAGCCATTCTTAAGCTGCAAAGCAGCGCCAACTCTTCGCATTATAGGTAACCTACAATGTCAAATGAATACTTTTACAAGTATTCAACATTTGAAAGAAGAGACAATAATTATTAGTTATAATTTTTATTTTAAGCATGTAACTGCTTGATGTTTAAATCTAAAGAAAATACTTATAACTAGAAAAAAAAGTCGAGTCCCGTCTACTGTCTGGTCCTAAGATTTTTTTCTAGTTATAAGTATTTTCTTTAGATTTAAACATCAAGCAGTTACATGCTTAAAATAAAAATTATAACTAAAATACAAGTCATCAAAGCAGAATGTTTTGATCACATAATTTCTGTTGTAGGATAAGAAAGTAAAATTGTTTTTTAATCTCCTTGATTTATTGAATTGGGGAGGAAGACGATACCATAAAAAATTGACCATAACAAATTTTCTCCGAAAGCCGAGACCCCATATAGACCCATTTCATTCTTAGCTCCCGTTTTGTTAAATGTTAACGGATCATCGACTTGTGGATGGACGGAACATCTTATTATTGTTTGTTTGGTCTAAGTTACAAGCTTTACTGTTAGGGAGGCAATGGCATCTGCGACAAAGGTTCAGCGCGTGGATTCTATAACATGCAGTCTCACTTTCAATTTCGGTAATTTGAATTGTCTTTGCCTTTTATCTCTTATCTATTACTACTGTTTCGAATTTAGAAATATTTTTTTATTTGCATTTGAATAGGCGGTGGATCCTGCAATTTTGAGGTACAAATCGGCCATCCAAAAAGCAAATTACAATCATTGCGAAATTTTGCCGTGTGATGACGTCGTAATTGAGGAGCTGGGGAACAAAACGATACAATTACGCATCTGGTCAAACTACTTTTTTTTTACAGTCCGGAGGTTTCGGGTTTATTCCTATTCTTTTGATATGAATCTCAAATAATTTTTAATCAAAACCGCTTAAAACTGTGTTAAAATTACTGAATTTATCAATTAAATTAAAACCATGCCAAAATCTCTCTGTAGGTATGTCATTCAGTTTTATACAGCTCCTGTAAAATTTCATTTTACGTAATTATACCGTTTTGTTCGCCAGCTCCTCAATTCATATTTGACTGAAGTCTAATAGGAGATAGCGGACTCCGAAGTGAGACTATATCTTAATGAATCGCCTACCTGCACTCAAAATCTGGTAAGGTTATGATTAGATATAATATAATAAAGCATTACTTCTAACATGGTTATAGAATTTGCAAAATCAGATTTGAATTTCAAAACTTGAATAGAATCTTCTATGAGACCTTATCTAAACAACTGCCAACTTAATTATGTACATATCATTAGTTAGTTTCGTTTTCATCTCATTCCTTGCTCTATAAAGCACAGGAGACAAAACAGACGTCTCTAAACAAATCCGTCCGTGTGAACGTGTAAGATAAACCGCGTGCTCCTGCAGCAGTCACAACGAACATAAAAAACAGGACAAAAAATACGACTTACATGTGTTATGTTTTTAATACATTTGATCTTGCCGATCGACGGCATCCGCTGCATTTCATTAAAAAACGGTAGTACTCTTTTAAACTAAAGATGAATCAAAATTTTGCCAAGTATTAAAAGATAAAAAAAACCTAATAACTTTCCAACTATCCAAAAAAAAGAAATATTGCTGATAAACTGTATAAAGTTCGCTTTATTGGATACAACAATATCCGACTAATACACAATTAGCTAATGAAAAGATGCACTTAGATTTAATATAACAAGCAGACGAAAGTAAATGTAAATGTATAAATATTTTTTTAAACCTGATCATTGCATTATACTTAAATATCTATAATATAGTATATTGAACAATTTTAATATTAGGTAAGTATATTTAAAACTGCAACAAGCTTTATTTTGTAAAAACAGAAAATGGCCTTCCAATTATATTATTGACCACTCTTATCATACGCCTATATTTTCCTTTCAAAATTTCTGCACTTTCCTTTCCTTTCATCTCATAAATTTAAAATTCTATAAACTTGCCTTTTTATTTAATTTTTTTTTGTGGTGTGGTATGCATGAAATTACTTTAACTTAACAATATATTTTAGATCTGATTCAGATTAATTTAAAAGCACATAAAATTGTTCTTAAAGAAGAAACATGCCAGTCGACATAAGTATGCCGTGAAGCCATTAATTTAGCATTGAATCAGCGGCGCCCGCGCAGCCGGCGAGTGTCGCCTTATAGAGATCGACAAGCACAGCGCATGCGCCCTATTTTGGTGTTGTCAAGTGGGACCCTTGTCAAAACACGATTTTATTACAGTTACTTTAATTCTAAAGTAATATAAAGCTGTATTGGTAAATTAAAAAAAAATGAGTTAGGCTAATTATTTTAAAATATTACACAAGAACGACCAAAAACTCACTCACTCACTCAGAATTATATTTGGCAGCTCATACAAAATACAAAAATAATAGTGAATAATAGGGATGATGACTATTTTTTTTCTTCGTTTATCAGGTAGATTATCAAAAAGTATTGGACACGTATTTTTTAGATATAGATATATTGATTTGAAAAGTCGCATGACGTCACGTTTTGGTACACTTTTTAGTGAATTTCCCAAACTTTGACGCTCTATAACTTTGTAATTTTTTGGTTGATTGCCCAAAGAAAAAATATGTGTCCATTATTTTTTGATCATCTAACTGACGGACTCAATAAAATTTAGTTTACTGTACCCCGGGTAGTACCTCTCAAATCTTATAAACCTAATATCAGGTTAAGAGCAATAATAGTGGTCAGTGCATTCGCCCGGATAGCGAAGAGTGCGGGTTCGAGTCCCGTCTGCTGCCTGGTCCGCGTGGACTTTTTCTAGTTATATTTTCTTTAGA